CATTCCTCAAAAACTTGCATCCCCCGATGGGATGCAAAATGGATTTATAGATGAGTAACGTTTTATAAATTGACAGAGCGCTGTAAGCGGCCGAGCGGTAAGATCGATGAATACTGGTAATTTGACCTGGTTCAAATCCCAGCGAATTGAGTGACTGCATGGAAATCATCATGTTTTTTGTGAAACGTGAATACCAGCCAAATAAGTTTCCCCTAAAAAATTCTCCATAAACACATACCTTCTCCACCAGATGGTCATAAGGGCTGTCGAGGCCTGAAATTTTCTATATGGGACTGTTATAGCATGTAGTTGTGTACCTCTCATTTTCTTTGCAATTGGTCGCACCAAACATATATGAGTACTATTCGGTTTCGAGGGCCGTAAAAAAATTGCAGCGAAAATGTGCGCGCAAAACCGCCAAATCTAACAAACGCGCCCATTTAACAGCGCGCCAAATCTAGCGTACGCGCTGATTTCAGATTGCGTAAGTTTATGTAGTTCTATATTTCTTAAGACGCCATTGAAATACTAGTATAATTTTTAAATCCTTTTTTGATAGCCTATGGATTTAACAATTTGGGAATTGCCCATAACGAAAACTCGGCAATAGAATTTTGGGTAAAGTGCAGAATCACTCACTGATTGACGCGTTTTTAAGAATTGCACATACTCGGTATCCATGGGCACATCAACCTATTTTCACTTAAAAAAAATCCTAGAATTGCACAAAAATGGCACTGCGCACACCCTTGACTTTATCTATGTACACATCGACCTAGTTTCCCTTAAAAAGTAAAAGAAAATTGACAAAAATCCAATTGTTTTTACCCTTGTAAAAAGCAGCAAACCAATAAGTGAGCGATTCTGCACTTTACCGAGAATATTTTCAAAGAAAAGGCATCATTCGTTATAGAAAATTACGTTTGAGCAACCAACGTGATGAAATTATGCTTCAGCGATAAGTCGGTAGCGAAATAGCGATGCAGGCTTCCATTCAGTTACGTTTAGCAATTTTTATATAAATTATAATAATGATCTGAAATATTTATTTACTCTTATGCTTCCATTCAGTCGTGTTTAGCCTTTTTCATATAATTATAATAATAAAAAAGTATTATATGAAATTAATCTTTCATCTAAATTAAACATCAATCTTAGATATTATTTACTATTATACTTCCTTTCTTGCCGCAATTATTTTGGCAGCATTGGCATCAATAATAGTTTGGCGATTTTTTTACGGCCCTCGAAACCGAGTAGTACCCATATATGTGTATATATATATATATATAAGAAAAATTATATTCCAGAAAGAGAAAGAAAAAATTATAATCTTAAATGTTAGTGAAGTCAAAATATTTTTAAATTTGTAATACGTATTTGGTATGTATATATATTACCCTCTGTCACCCGGTTCGGTGAGCTCAGTTTTTTGCAAGTTATACTTTAATGTATCCCAAGCCAATTCTTTAAAGAGGACTTTCAATAATATTTGCGAAATCATGTTAAGGGCATTTTGTTAGTCAAACATTAAAGTATGACCATCTGTTAATTCTTAAGCCGATATGAATGTACAGAGTGGCGCACACTGTATCTACAAACTTTAAATAGCTGCAGAAAGATAAAGCGTGCTTGTAGTCACTTTATGCAGATGTAAACTATGCATAAGCATTTCATGCGGTACGCAAATACGGCGCAGCCTGTCCTCCTGGTACCTCCTGGTAAAAGCAACCCTATGACCTCGGGTTTGGGGCCAGACTCGGGGTCTTTGGGAAATAATCAAAGTACCCGAAGAAAATAATCAAAATACCCGAGTAATAATCAAAACGCGCGCGACCAGCGACCCAGCCATGTCCCAAGAGCCTCAAAAGCCCGAAGGCAAGCAAGACTGCAGCTCCTGAAATAGAATAAATCGCAAACCGAGTAACTAAAAAACTAGTAAAAAGAAATCAAAGAAAACAATAAATTGTACCACTTAATAAATTAGTATGGTTGCACTAACTTGAAAAGACAAAAGGTAAGAAAGAGAAAATAATAAGTAACTAATACCCCTCTCCCCAAGGATGGTTAATTAAACTAAAATATAATGAAGAGTATAAGACAAACTCATATTAACACTTAAACAAGTTTAACTAATCATTCTTATCTCTTCCTTCCTGGAATTTGTGATCTTCATAATTTCTTTTGCGATTTTAACAGATATCTTTGGGTTATAATTATTCGAGTTAATTTATCCAATTCCCTTTCGGCTAATCTTTGGAATATGGTAACAGGTAGTTTGGCGACATTTTGGTAAGGCGATAAAGGTTACTAGCTAGGACTTTAGCAGTGTACATGGATAAACTCAAAAGTGTGCGCAATGCCATTTTTGTGCAATTCTGAGATTTTTTTTTTAAGTGAAAATAGGTCGACGTCTACATGGATACCGTGTATGGCAATTCTTAAAACGCGGCAAGGTTTGCGATTCTGCACTTTCTCCCAATTTCGCACCTAATCTTCGTCATGATTAAGCACTTTTGTTCGAGAACAGTTCTAGCATAAGCGTAATTCGGCTAGCAGATTGTTGAGAAAAAAATTTAAAATGTTGAGAAAAAAAACATGCGCCTTTACTTCGTGAAAAAAATATGGCGTCCAAACAAAAACTAGCAGCTTGCTGTAGCAGAGTTGGTCGCCAAATTTTCGCCAAAAAATCGCCAAGTTACCATAATCTAAAGATTAACCCTGCTTTCTACCTTTTTTAGTTAATGCACAGTCTTCCAGGAAGTGTTCTCTACTTCTCTCACAATTCAAACACAAATCATTCTCCTGAATTTTATTTAAATCTTTTCAGATATAAAGGGAAATCTTCCATGACCAGTTACTAATTGATTAAAATCTATATCACCGTATAGTTTCTTTTTCTTATAAATTTTAAACCAAGACATATTTCCAGTATTATAATTCGAAAGATTTCATTCGCAATTCCAGTTTTGATAGAAAGGCTTCTTCATACCGTTAGCTGCTTTTATATCGAGAGACAGGTAGGAATGGAGGTTATTTACTATTTTCCTGAGAGGTTGCCTCCTTTGCCAGGGAATCCGCCCTCTCATTTCAAAGTAAGTACCGTTATGGCCTTCACCCACAACATTTTTACATCGTGTCTCTTCCTCAAACTAAACTAGTTTGAGGAAGAGACACGATGTAAAAATGTTGATGCTGTAAAATGTTGACACGATGTAAAACACGATGCTCTTAATCTCTACAACTGAAAAATTTTTGGAATCATAGTCGGAGAGAGACTGAATAAATGAAAGACAATTTGTGTAGATTTTAATTCTATAATTTATTACAAAGGTCTTTGCAATCCAATTCAAGGCGTAAACGAGAGCGATCAATTTCCGCGTGATCAACGGAGTTATATTTTTTTTAATTTAGACTTACCGTAGTCAATATAATTTCCAAAATAAAAAACGACAAAAGAACATCTCCAAAACCCGATCCATCAGTAAAAATGTCTATCTCTTCAAATTCGTTTTATAATAAATGGATATCATTGATCTAGAATGTCCTAACAAGGGATTAAAATTCTCCAATACAGTACTCGTAATCAACTATTTTCGAATATTTTAGTGATTCCAATATTTTCATTTCAATAAGAATTTTCTATAGTAAAATTAGTAGAGTACAGGAAAAAAACGCAACCTCGACCAAGGCACAAATAATTTCGTTTGGAGTAATGCGAAAACATCTGGTGAAGTGGAGCGACCGGTTCCTTTGGACCATATTGACTATCTGAGATAGTGTTGATTTTAATAAAAATATGTCTTAATCTATCAGAAATCAATTTATTCAACACCTTCCCGAATACTTCTATTAAACTAATAGGTCTATATTAATTTTCATTCTTTGGGATCAATATAATGTTTGCTATTTTCCAAGCATTAGGGAAACGCCCTAATGCTTGGAAAATAGCAAAAATTATACATTCACGATTTCAATAGAGACAAACCACAATACAAGATTTTAATAAAATGATATTTTCATAAGCGTAACACTCCCAAGGATCTTCACATTCAATGCATTCACCATGCATTACTGCCACGCGATTCAAATCCCATTTCTCAGCAATTCGAGTTTCCCAAATTCAATTTTTCTTCCTTTAAAACTTTTCAAAACATATCAGACCGCATTAAACAATTATATAAAATATATTATTATTAAATATATAAAAAATCATATAAAACCGCATTAAAGCACATTAATTAAAGGCGTTATGCATTCGTCACCAACGGGACATGAACTGCAAAACATGAAGCGCACAAATGTAAACTGCTCCATTTACGGCTAACATTTTAAATTTTAATGGACAAAATACAGTATAAGATCAAACTAATAAAAGCAAAAGAAAAATCTCAGTAACCTTTAAAGCTTCGTCCAAATTTCAGTTGACGTGAGCTATAAAATATATATATGTTTCAATACTTCCACCCGTATTAAATTTCATGCACATGAAAATCAATGTAAATTCAGTTTTCAGTATTAAAATTTATACGTAAATACAATACATAGATTAAAAAGTAAGGGACCAAAAACCAGTATGAAATTCAGTTTAGATAATGGTACGCATGGATCTCAAGTTATTGCTGTGCACTTAAACCAGTCTCCGTACTTATACAAATTGTTACTAATTCTAGTTTCAATAGTCAAAAACACATCCACACATGCTATGAAAGTTGGAATACACGACAAATAGACGGAATGTTCCAGTTAGCCGTAACTATGCATAAATTTCAAAATAACGCCGTGCATTTAACATAAACATTATATAAACGTAATATACTACAAAATTCAACATCAGTATTCAAAAACAAATCGAATCACAGTATAAATAGTGAAAAACACGACACTGAAAACTTATATTCAAAACTGTATATAAAATGCACAGTTTTCCTTGCATCCAAATTTCAGTTAATAGATCTAAAATAGAAATAGTAAATGCACGAAGAATAAAAAGTACTTACAACGACCACATTTTGCAGGAATCTGATGCAAAATCACCTTGATCAAAAAGGCAATCAAATCGTCAACATTTGGCTCAGATCTCCTAGAATTTAAAACGCTTGTAAATTCCCCAAAAAGCTATGCAAATAAGTATTGCAAATTAAATATGATACGGGAACTGATGCACATTCAAAACATAACGTTTAAGACACTCCTCACTACATAGTTTCCAAAAATTTAGCAACTTTTCATGAAGTTAAGAAAATGCGTATATCAATGGCGCCGCACATGCGCAAGCATTTAATGCCGTTATAACACAGACAATATATCGGTGAACCTTTAAAATAATGTAGTCCGCCTTCTGCCAAGGTGCACAGTCTCGACGATACAGCAGGGCTACACGAGGTGTCTCAACATGTCCTGTAGAATAATACGCACTTTTCAGCTGATGGAAGCCATTGCGTATTCTTCAGTCTTCTGTAGATAACGAGCGATTTCTCTTTAGGTAACCCCAGCGGAAGGTTTCAATCTGGGATACAGAATGCCATGTCAGATCGCCAAAAGCCGGAAATCGGACGGTTGTGTAATGTTTATCGGAATGCAGCCATCCTTGTGGCTCCCATCTGATTGGAACGGAATTATACCCACTGTCTTGCGCGCAGTTCTTCAGATCTCCATCCTTCCACCGCAACATTCACGAAGCATCTGTGACACAGCCTGTTTGAATGAAGGCATCCACTGCACAGGCCAACAGCCTGGATACCTAAACCAATATCCTAGGTATCCTGATTCTTCAAGGACGTAGGCAGGCCACACCTCTGCATGTGCATTTTGGAAGGGTCACCGGCTCAAACTAGTAGATACAATATACGCCATCATACATATATATAAATACGCTCATATAAAAAATATCTCGACTTTAATTTCGTTACAAAATAATCTGTTCTTATAAATATAGATTACTTTGTAAATAATTAAAGAAAACTCTCTCTAATCGTCAATATGTTGCGAAATATATTTTTAAAATCACATTAATTTTATTATTTTGAATTTCAAGTAAATATAAATTGATGGCTGTTATATAAGTTTTATTAAGCCAAATAAGTCATGGAAGGAAGAAGAACAAGAATATTAATACTTAAAAGACATTCACTATGTTTTGCTACTTCTTTGCAAATTAATTCCTTATAAAATTCTTATTTCTTATACCCAGGAGACAGAAATTTCATTGACTGTTAACGATTGAATCGAACATATTAGAAAATATTATCATCTTTATTAACCTAGACTAATTGAACACATTTTTATTCCATGTACATTTGTAGAAGCTACAGAGTCTGCTGATACTTTGTTTGTCCTAACCTTTGTTTAGCCAAATAGTCAGGAAGCAATCAATATTCTCTAAATCGCAACACCTCTAGGAACTAACGCTTCACTGAAGGCTTACATTTTCTTCATGAAGCTATGCAAATGACAGAGAATTCCAGACTCTTTAGACAATAGATTGATAACCATGTATTCCAAAATTGCAGCCATCATTGCTAAAGTTCCACAAGAGAGGCTCAAGTGCTTATGGCTGGAATTAACGACTGCAATTACCGTTTGTCAACTTCATCGGTAGCGTTTAGTCAACAAGCTCAGGAATCAAATTCCAGAAAATTTATTATGTTCTGAAATTCTTTATTGTCCCTAAATAATTCCCCAAGATGTTAAATAATTTGCATACTGTGCACTTGCTTCGCCAAAGATCTTCGTACCTCCATCAAATATCGGGGAAAGTGAAAAATCACCCACTGCTTGGTGCGTTTTTCAAAATCGCCAACTTGAAAATAACAAGTCCAAGAATTGCGCAAATTCGGTATCTACGTACACATCGATCTATTTTCACTTAAAAAAATATCAAAGAATTGCACAAACTCAGCACTGCAAACTCCCTTGACTTTGTCCATGTACACATCGAAATGCTCCAAATAAGTGGGCCATTCTGCATTTCACCCCTAATATCTTTAGCACCTTTCCTTATTGGTATAACAGATATTATCCACATTTTTGCGTTATTTCAACGTTACAAGGAATACAAAATGAAGAAAGAAATAAACTGTGCCACTGACAACACAAAGTAGCGTACAGGTCCTGTACACAAATTCCAAAGAGCGAAGATCTTTTTCTTCGGCATGAAGTCTGACCATAAAAGATTTTTTTCTGTAAACAGCCCCTAAAAGTCCTTGAGAGGAAAAACTGCTTAAACAGCCTACTGCTAGAATAAAAAATATGATTACAATCTTTAGTTGCGAAATATAATACTGATCTTCGTACGCTTGAAATTCACGAACATTTAAATGGCTTGCGCTTGGTTTAGCATTGAGTACTGTTATTCATTTGCCCAGTTTGAGATACGAGAATTCTGTAGTTTCCTTTCTTTTCATAATTCTATATTTTATTAATTAAACTTTAGGACTTCATTCTTTTTTTATCTTTTTCATGTTAGGGCAGTGTTTTGGAAAATAATTTCCTTGAGATTTCTGCACGCAATTTTAGCAATTTCCAAAATTAACCTTTTTAAAAATGTAACGTTTCGAATTAAAGTCAATATATCCGACATATCGTGAACATGTCATAAATAGTAACTGACTGAATATAATTTGTCGTATACATAAACTGATTGTAAATGACTACTACAGAACATGCCATAGACATAAATTGACAGAAATAATATGTATTATAATTATAACTTCCATGCTGGTTGCCCTGGTTTTAATTAGATGCTTTGAAGTTTAAAAAAAAAGAACTTCAGCTGAGAATCAAAATTCATAACTCAGGTTAGGAGGCAGAATGCTTGTTAAATGAGCTCTCTACTGTTGGAAACTAATACCGAATAATTTCTGCTTACAAAGACGCTCGAATGATTTGAGTTATAATACAGTTTCAAGTATTTGACATAACCGTCTGTTAATTTTTAAAGTAAGGAAAAGCACGCTTCCTAGGTCGGATAATTTCTTAGGTCAAATTGTTTATAGTCCGTTCAACTGTCTTACCGACCAAACGAAGCGGCGTCGAAGCGTTTTCGTTTTTTAATTTGTCTTTATTGTCTTATCTTTATCCATTTTCAGATACATTGTGTAAAAATATTTGATAATTGTAAAATTATTATAATAAGTTAAAGAAATATCAAAAGTGCTAAATTTTTTGGCGACTTCCTGCTGCAGGTCCAGCGACACCCTTGGGGGTCGCGACTCAGAGTTTAAGAAACCCTGTTATAGGTGAACACATTGAAAACACTTAATGGCAGAATAATTATTGAACTAATAATTCTCATTTTAGTTAAAAGAGCAGTTAAATATCCTACTGTAGAAGCCGCAAAGAAGCCCAAAGCTGTCAATATTCTCAGCTTTAATGAAGAACAATTTAAACAATAATTCAAATTATTTCACTTAAAAGTATCTTTTTACTTCCTTGTACGAAGTAAAAAGGAAGTATTGTAATCGTGAAGAGTTTCAGGCATCATAGTCATGAAACATCCTTTTCCCCGCTATCGACGCATTTAACTATGTTTTTTGGACACTGTGCGTAGGACGGATCAGGACTCTTTCCCCCCAAACTTGCAACACTTTACAATGAATTCTAAAGAGAATTTTTCGTCTGTGCGTATGTACGTATGTACTCGCTAATTCAAAAACGGTAACCCAAACGTTGAATTTGTATACAGACTGCATAACTGTAAATGTGCACTTAGTATTTTGCTGCAATCGCCACACCAAAAGTAATAAATATTGGTATAATCCACTCTTTTACCGCTCATGATCTCGTTTCTTTATTCTTATATGTCTGTAAATTGTGATTTTGCTTAAAAAGATTGAAGATATTGTTCTTATCTTCCGTTAGTTTTTATGCTTTAATAATCTTATGCAGTGTCTTAAATTCACAATTTAAAGTTGTTAAGTGCCGCTAATCCTAATAATTTTTCCATGCGGCCATTGCTTGTTACATTTGAACAGCAGAAGGTATTTGTGCCGATCTGAGAAAGTAACTTTGCATAACAAGATAACGTCTTCTTTTATTATTGTAATAACCTGCTAACCTTGTAATGCTCTTTAGTAACCTAGGGCCAGAGTGTCGCTAGATAAACAAATATTTTAAAGAATGCATTTATTCTATTGTAAATTAATGCCTATCGACAAGTAGATTTACTTTATCCATATTTTAAATGAAATGCAAGAAAAAATGGGTATAGCTTAATATTCCGTACAAGGAAGTCATGTGGTGCACACATAAGATTTATTTATTTATTTTTAAGGAATGTTTCCAATTTCTACAAAATTTGATGAAAAATTATATCATTGCTTTACTTAAAAACAATAAATTTCATGATAGAAAAAAAAAACGACATATTTTAATAATTTCAAAGACAGGAATAAGATACAACTTTGAAAATACCTAAAAATACCATAAAAATTTTGTTTTATTTCCTGCACAACCGTATAGAGCAAAAAAATTCCTGTTTCTGACATGATGTTACATCTGATCGTCGAATACAAATTGACCGATATTTTCTCCAAGAACGTATGTTGCAACGCCGTTGCAATGCCCGGAAACGGAAAGGAAGATAAGAAAATAACCGATTTCGCCATTTTCCGCAAGGTTAAACTTTAGATTTTGCCTGTAGCTGAACGCGAAGAGGGAGAAACCAAGCAACTAAGTAAAGCATCTGTTGGTATCTCTACACATAAGTAAATTAAGTAATATATATTCAAGAAGTAATTGGAATATTTAAGATCACCTTATGATCGCTAATTTAAGCACCTCTTAGCAAACAGTCGTTAAGGTACTGTTTAGCTTACATGACAGCTTTTCTTAACAGAAGTATTCTTTTCTTTTGAACTTTGTTTCATTGACTACAAATGCAGCCCGATTTCAGAATAAAATGGTTCCATCAACTTCAAAGAAATTGACAAGTATTTGCAATATATAGGCATGTAATAAAAATATGATCATAAATACAAATGGGACATTTTGATAAGCTAAATTTTGTCTTATTGCTATCTTTATGTAGCTGGTTTACCATACCATATAAACCTAGAATTTTTAGTATCAAAGTGTTTACACCATCTTTGAAGTCATTATGAGAAGTATCCTTTCGATTTGAACCTTTTTTACTTCATTGTATGAAGTAAAGCGATTATCGCGAAATATTTTGGGTATCACATATCAACGAAAGTATCCATTTGGACCACTCTCGAGTCCATATAAACTATGTTTTTGCGTAACATCTGTATGTATGGACAGAATAAAGGACCTTTGTCCCAAAACTGATTACAAAATGGATTTAAAATGGATTCAGAAGAGATATTTCGTAACGTCAGTGCATATATATCTAGCATAGCTCAAAAACGAGTAGCCGTAAAACGTTAAAATTTTGTATATGGGACTGCTATAATATGTAGTTGGGATCAAACGTTTCGCTGCAATCCAGCGGCACTAAACGTGTAATATACCCACTCTGTTGACTTGATGAGCTCAGTATTTTTGTTCTTATATGTTGGTTAAGATATCTGCCTGCATACGAAGCACTTTTTTTTTAAAAAATACATAAAATTTTAATTAAACACATATGTTTTTGAGTAAGATGGGATAT